CTGCGGGGGAGGAGGGCGGGGCCTGTGGAGAGGAAGGTGGGCCCTGCAGGGGAGGAGGGCGGGCAGTGGCCTTGACTGTGGTTGCGGGGTCGGGTGGTGTAGCCTGGAGGCTGGAGGGAAGTGGCGTAAGGCTTGGGGGCGGGGCATGCAGAGAGGAATGGGGAAGGCCTGGACCACAAACCCAGCTGAGCCAACCCCCGCCCCTCCAGGCGGTCTGTCGCCTGAAGTTGCTCTTGGAACGAGACCTAGAGCCCCACAGCCCCTGCCCAAGGGTGTCCCCAGCGCCTTCCTTCTGTGGCCCCCTCTGCTTCTGCACAGGCCCAGCTCTCCTCACCCTATGACCTTCACACCTGTGGTTGCAGGACCCCCTCCAGTCCCTGGGTTCTCAGCATAGAGCTGGCCTTCCCCCAGGCCGCCCCTGACCTTCCTTACAAAGGAAGCAGGACAGGGAGTGTGGGTGGGAGGGCTGTGGGCAGGCACGCGTGTTTTAGGGGCACCCCAGCGCTCTGTGGCAAATGGCCAGCAGGGGCTAGGTGTTCAGGTGCGGCCAGAGGGAGACCAGGTGGTGACGGGCAGAGCCGGGCAGCTTGGGTGTGCTGTGGGGTGGGGGCCTTGGGGCAGAGGGAAGAGGAAGGTCTGGGAGGAGGGGGAAAGGAAGAAGGTAGGGGCAGGGAGGAGAGGAGGCCTCCCATCACGCAGGGTTTCTGAGGATGGAAAAGCAGACCGTGTAGTTGGGCGTGATTTTTTGCATGACTTTACTTTCTGTCGGTGGGATATGACCTCCGGGACTTCTGAGGGGGTGCAAGAGAAGGTGAGTCCAGACTCACCCTGTGGGGAACCTGGGTCACTGGGCTTCTCCGGGCCTCACTTTCCTTGTCTGTTAGGTGGGTGTCACCCTGGCCTGTGGGCAGCTGGTGGAGTGCTGAAGGTCCCCTGTGCCAGGGGCCCGTGGAGGGCCCTTCGTGTGGTGTCTGTGCACCACGGCATTCCGCCCTTTGAGGCCTCTGGGTTGCCGCCAGATGCCAATGGGCGCTCCCTCTCCCGCCTCCCGCCTCCCGCTCTGGCCACGGCCTCCTCCTCCTGAGGCCCCTTCCTGGCGTCCTTGGCCCCTGTTGTGGGCACCCGGGCACCAGTGACTGGGCTGCAGGGCCTGCATGTGGCCCTGGTCTGCTTCCGGAGCTGCCGCACGAGGAGGCGCCCGGCCCAGGTCCCTCCGCAGATGTGAGGATGGGGGGCTGCTTGGGCGGTGTGGCCAGGGCGCGCCTGCTCCCCGCAGGTGGGCCACCCTGCTCCGGCCTGCGGCCTGCAGCCCGCCTCTCGGTCCCCACGCAGGTGCAGAAAGTCATGCCCAACGACACCTTCTACTTCTCCATCCTGAGAAACCCCGTGTTCCAGCTGGAGTCCTCCTTCATCTACTACAAAACCTACGCGCCCGCCTTCCAGCGCGCCCCGAGCCTGGACGCGTTCCTGGCCTCGCCGCAGACGTTCTACAACGACAGCCACCTCCTCAGAAACGTCTACGCCAAGAACAACATGTGGTTCGACTTCGGCTTCAACCCCAACGCGCCGGCCGAGGAGGGCTACGTGCGCGCGCGCATCGCGGAGGTGGAGCAGCGCTTCCAGCTGGTGCTCATTGCCGAGCACTTGGACGAGTCCCTGGTGCTGCTGCGGCGCCGGCTGCGCTGGGCGCTGGACGACGTGGTGGCCTTCAGGCTCAACTCCCGCAGCGCGCGCTCCGTGACCCGCCTGGCGCCCGAGACCCGGGAGCGCGCGCAGCGCTGGTGCGCGCTGGACTGGCGCCTGTACCAGCATTTCAACCGCAGCCTCTGGGGGCAGCTGCGCGCCGAGCTGGGCCCACGGCGGCTGCGCGGGGAGGTGGCGCGGCTCCGGGCGCGGAGGCGCGAACTCGCGGTCCTGTGCCTGCAGGACGGCGGCGCGCCCCAGAACCGGACGCAGATCCACGACCCGGGCCTGCGCCCGTACCAGCCCGGCGCGGCCGACATCCTGGGCTACAACCTCAGGCCAGGCCTGGACAACCGGACGCAGCGCGTGTGTCAGCGGCTGGTGACGCCCGAGCTCCAGTACATGGCCCACCTGTACTCCCTGCAGTTCCCGGAGAAGCCCCCCAAGAACATCCCGTAGAGCGGGGAGCGTACAGGGGCGGGGGCGGGGGCCTCCAGCTGACGCCAGCCCCTGTCTCCGCAGCTGGGAAGCCCAGGCTGGCCGGCCCCTGCTCTAAAATGAAGAGGACGGAGACCCCAGTGAAGAGCCGCCCCCCCACCTCCGCGATCCGCCCAGACCCCTCCCAGAGAGGGTCCTGAGCCCAGGTGGAAGCCCCACCTGGCCCGAGGCTGTGCCTCAGTTCACCGAATAGAACTGAACACGAAGGCGGGGGAGTGAGGGATGCTTGACCACAGGCCAGCACGCTGCTGGGCAGAACTCCATGCCCGTGACCCCGGTTCTCTTGAGGTTCCTGGCACTGGGGCTGTGGGTTCTCGGAGGAACTCAGAGTGTCTCCTCTGGATTTCTCAGCCCTGTCAACAAGGTGCTGGTCCCAGAGACATGCGCAGGCACAGGCAGTGCGGCAAAGACCCAGGCGCAGCCCTGCAGCCAGTGATGGAAGCCTGTGGAAACAGCTCCCATCTTTGGCTATAGGAGGTTTACTTCTGATGGAAGGACGTTTTCCACAGAGAAATGGGACAGCTGCTCAAAAGACGGGTTGAGGTCGAGCTCAACTCCACGGCCTCTGCTGTCGGTCACAAATGCCGGTGGAGAAGAGGACATCCGACTCGCCAAACGAGGCGGGAGTGGTTGGGGCTCCACACACCCACTGTTGCCTTGGAGGTGGTGTCGGGTGTGATGCCAGAGGGTAGCTGTGGGCACTGTCTTTGTCATTGATCTGGAGAGGCAGAGCCTCCTTGCTGGCAGGACGTGATCCTGGCTGCCGGGGGTGGGGGAAGTTTAACCGGTAAAGGGGTGCACACATGGGGACAAGCCAGTGCCTGGAGCACCCAGGAAACGCACCTACCTGGCAGCACGTTCGAAAGGCCACCGTCCCTCCCTCAGCCTAGGGACCTCTGCAGGCCACCCTCCCCCACTCAGCCCAGGGACCCCTGCAGGCCACCCTCCCCCACTCAGCCCAGGGACCCCTGCAGGCCATCCTCCACCCCTCAGCCCAGGGACCCCTGCAGGCCACCCTCCCCCACTCAGCCCAGGGACCCCTGCAGCCCACCCTCCACCCCTCAGCCCAGGGACCCCTGCAGTCCACCCTCCACCCCTCAGCCCAGGGACCTCTGCAGGCCACCCTCCACCCCTCAGCCCAGGGACCCCTGCAGGCCACCCTCCCTCACTCAGCCCAGGGACCCCTTCAGGCCACCCTCCAGGGAGGGCACAGTAGGGCATTCCGCCGGGTAAGGGGAAAGCAGGCGCTGGATGAGCCCACGGGCCAATGACAGGAGTCCCAGAAGACAGAAGAGACCACAAATGAGAAGGCAGGTCACACGGAGATCAAAACGTTCCCGGCCAAACCCAGGGCCTGGCTGCTTATTCCGGAAGTCCAGCTGTTGCAGGAGCGGCCTCGGGAAACAGAGCTCTCAGACACCGAGTATTGGAGGAAGGAGTTTATTCGGCCGGGAGCCAAGTGGCACATTTGCCTAATATCCAAGCTCGCCTAACAAAGGAAGGTTCCTTCTTTACATAGGCCTATACTTTAGATGTTACACGTGGAAGAATCTTAGGTTTATAGCTTAACATATGAAAAGGGTCTCTGTTTACAGTATTAGGAATTACATATGAAAAGGGTTTCAGTTTGCAGTCTTAGGAATGAAAAGGGGAAGTTTGCAGTCTTAGGAATGAAAAGGGGAAGTTGATCTGAGATGCCTGGGTCTCCTCTTCATCCCCCCCTTTGCGACCCTCACCACTTTACAATATTAGTGAGAGGTCTCACTTTCATTCTCACTTTCCAGATTTTCTGAAGAAACCGACTGATAATGTTTCATATAATACACTTGTGATGTCACTTTTTGGCTAACTACAGTGGTGATGAATCCCCTCATCTGAAGGAACAGGGGCAGTAGAAAAGGGAGCAGTCAACAAACACCTATTATTATTAGAACACTTAGGATGAGGGTTTTGAATCCTGCCAAGCATGAGAACCAACCTCCAAATAAGGACTCAGGGTTAAACCCGTGCCACAGCTGTACAGGCACGTGTGCCAGTCTGGTTGTGTCTCACACAGTATCCTCCACTGCCTGCCCCTGGTCATCCATGTGCAGACAGCAGTTGGTTAGACCGAATTTTCCCAACTCCTCCTTCGGCTGCTAGCAAATAATCTAGGGCCAGTTGGTTCTGATAAATCGCGTTTCTCATTTGAGTTTCTTGTTGGGCCAAGAGGTACAGAGCTTTGCCCGTTTCATTAGTATTTCCAAAAGAGTCTGCAACCGGGTGATCTGGTTGAGCCTGTAAATAGGGGTCCGGTATCCCCATGAGCCATCCTCAGCCCATGTGGCCAGCCCATAGTACTCAATAATTCTCTCCGGTGGCCACTCATCATCTGTCCAATTCCCTAGTTTCAGGTCTCTCTTCTCCCTAGCGGAGTAAACTGAATGCCCTCACAGCTCGCCTATCTTAACAGATAACAGGAAGAAAGAGGGCTTAATGATGCCTATGATGTAGGGGAATATCCTGTTTTTCCTAAAGGAGGAAAAGCAGCTACCTGTCCATCTCACGGATTACACACCTTATATTGAGTACCATTATATAAACAGGTTCCCCTCTGTGTCCCCGTACATTTATAAGACCTGCAAGACAAAAGAGTAACTTTTACGCCCTACCTGGTGTACATACTGGGGCATTCTTCAAAATTAGTTAATGTTCCTGCTGTGCAAGTCCAAGTATTAAGAAGAACAAGCCCCACGATGAATCTCCTCATGCTTCGGCCATGCGTGGACCAGCCAGCTTCCGGGATGTGGCTGGAGCAGGGCCTGTTGTCCTTTTTAAGGTGATTCTGCAGTCCTTGCCTTGGTCCAAGTCTCAGCTGTTGCTGGTTTTTACACGGCTGTGGATTCAGGCTGGGAATCCCTCTACCTTCACAGCTGTGGGATTGGTCAGGACCAGGTCTGAGGTCCTTTCCATTGTGGCTTTAGAGGGGCTGTACTCCCGTCCTTTATCCACACGTGATTACCTAGTGAGAAAGGGTGAGCTGGGAGAAAAGGGCTTACAAGACATTTGTTATTTACTCAGGTTGAAGTATCCTAAGCGATTCTCCCTAGGGCTAGTAGCTAGCATCCTAACTCAATCTCCCCCCACTCCCGAGGAGTTCCCAGGAGTGCCCAGAGTAGGGGAGGGGGCCTATGGTATAAGACTTTGTAGGGGAATATCCTGTTTTTCCTAAAGGAGGTGCCTCTAATTTTGAATAACCCCAAGGGAAGTGCCTGCACCCACTCTAATCTTATTTCCTGAACACTTTCCCTAAGCTGTTTTTGATGGTCTGGTTCATTTTTTTTCCACTTTTCCGGAACTCTGAGGTCGGTAGGCAGTGTGCAGTTTCCAGGTGATACGCGGCTGTTGCTATTTTCGGGACTAAATCTGCCACAAATGGTGGTCCACTGTCTGCCCCGATGTGCAGTGGCAGTCCAGACCGGATAAGATCTCCAAGCAGCACTCAGGTTACTTCATGGGCTCTTTCAGTCCCACCCAGAGTATGTGCACACCAGGACCAACAAATGCTTATGTCCCCCACTCTTGGGCATTTCAGTAACGTCTCCCTGGAGATCTTCAAGCGGACCTGCTCCATAAGCTTGAATTCCAGGGGGAATAACTGGACCCTGCCTCGCGTTGTGTTGCCGACATGTAATGCATCGCTGTGCCACAGTTTTGGTCAAGGCTGCAAAGTGTGAGATGTAAAAGTACTGGCCCAGCATCTTTTCAAGCGACTCTTGACCTGAATGAGTGGCCTCATGTACGGCTTGTACAGCTGCTGCCCCCAGCAGCCGTGGTGCTGTTATTCTTCCAACTGGCCGTTGGATCCATCCTTCTTTAATCTGTTGCCCCCTTCTGTCTGGAGAAAGTCTCTTTCCTCCTTAGAGTAAGTAGGTATTAGATCAGGGATCTGGGGAATCAGCGGGGCTGTAACTGCTATTTGGTAGGGGGCAGATGCTGCCCCGCTCTGTGGGCACAGCCTGGTTAAACAGCTCTGCTCCAGACCCTGCCTCTGTCTCAGGGTGGCTGAGGAGCGGCCTTTGCCAGATGACGTGGGGGCCTGCAGGCCCCGTTTCCCTGTGAGCCTGGGTGCTTAGGGGTGGCCCTGTCAGACTCCACCAGTCTTGGGGGATGGGAAAAGGGAGATGGCCGCCTGGTTCTGGTTGGGGTGGGGCTTCTGAGAGGTGGGGATGTTGTCCCTTCCCACCCAGCTGCCCCTGCCCCAGGATTCTTGGCTAAGAGCAGGAGGGATGTGTGCCATGGCGGAGCTGCCTGCATGCCACACACCACTTCTGGCCCACGGGGGCCATGCAGGAGATTCGGGAGGAGCTGGGGCCCACCCCTCCCACTTCCCTCTCTCCCATGTCCTCCCTGGCCCCCTCCCAGCTCCCCCCAGTAAATCCCCTCAGGCCCCCGGGACCTGGAGGGATGACAGGTTTCTCATCTCAGCCTGGAAACCACATGAACTCCTGCTGTCCCTCAGCCTGTCTCCCACCGCAGCCTCCAAGGTTTCAGAAGCGGCTGTGGACGCCCTTCGCAGGGGATGGAGGGACAGTGCAGAGGGAAGGTGTTCAGGGCCCAGGGAGCCCCCGGAGCCTGCCTCCCTCAGAGTGCACCAGGACCCGCGGCCTTCTCTGAGATTCTGGCCTGGGCAGCAGTCATGTGAGCATCAGTTACCAAGGCTGCCTTGGAAATGGCAGCCTGGGTCGGGCCGGCAAGAATGGGGCTGGCAGGAGTCCTGCGGGGGTGGTTGTGCTGGGGAGGGGTCACCTGGGCCCTGAGAGGCACAGGACATTGGGGCGGGGTGTTGGCCTGCCAGGAGCGTGGCTGCAGAGCTGGGGCCCAGCGAGGCATGTCCTGCGCTTCGAGGGCTGTGCTGTGCCAAGGGAGGCCCTGCCCTCGGAGCCCCCCTGCCCGGTGGCGCCTCAGGAGCTACAGACCCTGTGTCTCCGGGAGGCCGACTCTGGCCCCACAGCCGGGCCTATCTCAGCATGGCCCTTGTTGGAGAGCGAGCCCTGGGTCCTAGGCACCTGTGCTGGCTCTGGTGTCGTGTGGCTCCTGGGTGCCCATCTACACCCATGCCTCTGCTCTGGGCTTTAGTGGAGCCGTGCCACATGGGAGGCTCCAGGGTCCTGACGTCGCCCTGGGGCGTTGCCAGCTCCCTGGCCTGCCGCCTGCACAGTGGGTCCTTGTCTCTGCTCTGGACCAGGCGAGGCGGCCACCCATGATGAGCTCTGCAGCCTTCCGGAGGTGGCTGGTGAGTCCCCGCGCTGTGCATTTCCCCGCGCCCGGACCCTCTACCTTGGTGCTCGGGGCCAGGACCCGCACCTCAGGCATCCACTCCGCTGGCCGCCCCTCTGTCTGGGGGTGCTGGATGAGTCTCCTTGCCAGGCCCCGGGTGGCTCCTCACCTCTCAAACGCGGGGCAGGCTGCATGGATCCCGAGGGGCCCTACAGCAAGGGTCCCACACGTGTCTCCCAATGGAGCAGTTTCTTGGCCCACAGGATGGGTGTGACACTGAGGGTTCCTGGGGGCAGATTCAGGGCATGGCACGGAGACAGACCGGTTGTGAGGGGCCCAGTGCAGGGGGCTGGCCAGGGACGCTGCACCAGGTGGTCAGAGTCCTTGCCCTGGCCAGGGCACAGGACGCTCACAGTACAGGCTGAGGGTCAGAGCCGCCTGAGACCCCCTGCTGAGATTCTGTGCAAAGAGCCTCGTGCTTTGGGTGACTGTGAAGCCCCTCACCGAGGTGGTCCTACTCTGCATCTGAGCGGTCCCACGACAAGAAGTGCTCACCCCAGAGGGTGTGTGCAGAGGGCCTGGGCTGACCTCAGGGCTCTGGGGGTGCCCCACAGGACTGGCTGCCAGGGGTGGGGTGTCAGTGATGGCCCCCTGTCGAGCCAGAGTGACCCCCTACAACCTGTCTAGGGGTCCAGGGGCCAGAAGGCCAGGTTCTCCTGGAGGTCACATCTTCCTTGGGCCTCAGTTTCCCCTTCTGTGACTCCATACCCCCGAGGAGGGCCCTGTCAGGGAGGGCAGGGGGCACTGGTTAATGTCAGGACACAGCTGTCCCAATCAAGCCAAACCCCTGGAATGCGCCGAGCTGGCCACACTGAGCAGGCTGGCCTCTGAGACGGAGGGACTCCCGAGAACACAGAGGCTCTGTGGAACCCAGGCCGTGGCCGTGGCAAGGATACCCCAAGCCACATATGTGTGGCAGCCCTATCCCCTCTGTGGGCCTCAGTTTCCCCTCCGTGCAATGATGGGAGTGACCAGCTGTTATTGGAGGCTCCTTCCCTCCCTCTCTGTCCCCAGGGTGGGCCAGGCCTCAGGTCTGCAGGGGTGCTGCAGCTGCTCCTGTGGTCCAGGCCTCGGGGAGTGAGCCAAGTGCTGAGAGAATGTCTTGCTTGTGCCTGCTCAGCCCAGAGGGACACGTGGCATCCGCACCTGCTTCCCACTTGGCCACAATTGTCCTTTGAGAGCAGAGCCAGGGGCTTCTTGGGGACAGGAAGCTGCTCTCAGAAGCCACAAGACTGGTGCGGGGCTGAGCGGCAGGAAGAGGCCGGCTGGCTGCCCTCGCCCAGAGCCTTTGTGAACGGCGGCCCGGGGCAGAGGTAGCTGGAGGTGGCGGTGTCTGTTTGGGCCTCAGGCGTTGGGGCAAGTCCCGCCCGGGTTTTACCTGAGTGTTCGCCTTTATCCCGGTCTCCACCTGTGGGTGCCGCTGGACTCGTGAGTGTGCCTAGGTCCCGGTCGTAGCAGGCCATGTCCCGCCTCCCTCCTTCCCTTCCCCTCCCATCCAGTGCCCCGTGTGCCCTGCCTGGGTGGCTGGCCGTGGCTCTGACCGCTCCATGTCCTGCATGGTGGGCACGGGCGCTCCCACCTGTCCACAACTTTGCCGCTGCCCCGCACCCGGCTGTGCGTGCTTATGCCCCGCTCAGCCTGCCTTTGTGTGAGTCAGACCGAGAGGCCCCTGGGAAGGTCCTGCCTGCAGCAAGTAGACCCCATGTGTGCCCCTAACCCAGGCCCTGCCCTTGTGGGCGCTGCTTGGGAGCAAACACTCAGAACAGCTGCCTGAGCCCCACTCAGCTTGGGGCTTCTGATTCCCAAAGGTGCTTCTCAGGTGCTCCTCGGGTCAGGGCTCTGCAGGCGGGGAGCACTAGGGGTGGGGTGAGGGCACTGTGGGGCCAGCTGCCTGTGGATGGGGTCTGGTCACCCAGCGCCTGTCCCCTGCAGGATCCCTGGCTCTGGGCCACCCGATGAGGTTTAGGAAGTGGCAGGTCCCCTGTCCCCAGAGAGCCCCGTGGCTCCCAAAGCTTCCTATGGGCACACCTCTGTAACTCTGTTTGCAGTGGCCTCTATTATGGGGACACGGAGCTCCTCCTTGTTCGAGGTTTTGTGTCCGGATTAACCACATGCCCTCCTGCTGGGTGAATTCTGGATGACCCTGTATTCTGGGCATATGGCTCACAGGGTCCCCGGGGCTCTCCGGCCAGCCTCCCCTATACCTTGGCCCCAACCATCCTGGCCAAGGGTCAGCTCCCAGAGCCGTGTTGAGAGGGGAAGGGGCTGATTCCACAGATATTTGGGGTGCAGTGGCTGTGAGAAGTGTGGGGGAGGGAATGCCCCAGATTTGGGGTGAGGGAGTCAGAAACAGGGCTGACCCCACTGTGGGTGCAGGAAGAGGCCAAGGTGTGGGAAGAGGCTGTGGCTGTCTGTACCTCCAGAGCCCCGTCCCCAATCCAGATGGGGGGCAAATATGGGGCTCCCTGGGCCCATCTTGCTGACTTGTGGCCCTGCTGTGGCCCGCAGAGCATGGAGTCCCCTCGTACCCCTGCGAGGACAGTGCTCTTTGAGCGGGAGAGGACGGGTCTGACCTACCGCGTGCCCTCGCTGCTCCCCGTGCCCCCCGGTCCCACCTTGCTGGCCTTTGTGGAGCAGCGGCTGAGCCCCGATGATGCCCATGCCCACCGCCTGGTGCTGAGGAGGGGCACACTGGCCCAGGGCTCCGTGCAGGTGAGTGGCTGGGTTGGCTGGGGCTGCATTCCCTGGGGGGCAGGGTCTGTTTGGGCGGCAGGCAGGTGGGTGGCCAAGGTGGAGATGAGCAAACCAGGCTCAGCTCTCCCAAGGTGCCCTGCAGGGGCTGCACCCAGGTCCCTGGACATCCTGGCCAGTGGCACTTCCTCCTCTGGGCAGTGGGGTGCCCTGCACATGCTGGGGACGGCTGCCCTGGCGGAGCACCGGTCCATGAACCCCTGCCCCGTGCACGACGCTGGAACGGGCACCGTCTTCCTCTTCTTCATTGCGGTGCTGGGTCACACACCCGAGGCTGTGCAGATCACCACGGGCAGGAACGCCGCGCGCCTCTGCTGTGTGACCAGCCATGACGCAGGCCTCACGTGGGGCAGCGCCCGGGACCTCACCGAGGAGGCCATCGGCAGTGCCGTGCAGGGTAGGTGAGCAGGGCAGGTGGTCAGGGCAGGTGGGCACGGTAGGTGGGTAGGGCAGGTAGGCAGGGCACCGGTCTGGGTCCCTTTGATTGGCCACGGTCCACACAGGAGATTCCAGCTGGAAATTTCCATTCTGCCCACCCCTGCCCCTGCCTCCAGCCACAAGGGGACCAACCATCCCTCTCCCCAGGACTGTCCTGTGCCCCCTGTCCCAGGTAAATGGGCATTGGTCATCCCCCCAGCACCCGGTGGTCAGGAGCAGGCATGGCTGACGCAGGACTGTCATCCCCCCGGGTCATGCCTTTATCTGCAGAGGAGAGGGCTGGACGCTAAGGTGTCTCTTAGCCCCCAAACCAACAGCCTCCTCCCCTTACCCTTTCCTCTTCCCCTTCACTCCCTTCTCACTCTGCCTGGAGCCTGGCCAGGCCTTGCCCACAGCTTTCCCTCCACCCTGTCCTCTGTGGCTACCTGACCCTGGCATGTGGGAGCCACACCAGGGAGTGGAACAGACACATGGCTGACCCAGGGACTCTGCCGCAGGGCCTCATGCCCACTGCTGCCCTCTGCTCTCTGTGTGAGCACCGCTTGCCAGGCTCCCTGGGTGCTGTCCACCTGGTCTTGGGGCTGGCCGCCTGAGGAGCCAGGACGCATGCATTCCTGGGCACCTGCTAAGGGCTGTGAGAGGCTTGTCCAGCTTGGGAGGACTCAGGGCGGCTGGGATGAGTTGTGTGGAGGGCGGTTGGCAAGTGGCCGTACTGACCCGATGCACCAACCCCTCCTTCCCCTTCCTCCGGTGCCTCCCTCCATCCCCCACCTCGGGTAACCAGCAGCACCTCCCACCCTCACTTTTCTCCACAGATTGGGCCACATTTGCAGTGGGCCCTGGCCACGGTGTGCAGCTGCCCTCAGGCCGCCTGCTGGTGCCCGCCTACACCTACCGCGTGGACCGTCGCGAGTGTTTTGGCAAGATCTGCCGGACCAGCCCCCACTCCTTCGCCTTCTACAGTGATGACCACGGCCGCACCTGGCGCTGCGGGGGCCTCGTGCCCAACCTGCGCTCAGGCGAGTGTCAGCTGGCGGCGGTGGACGGGGGGCAGGCCGGCAGCTTCCTCTACTGCAACGCCCGGAGCCCCCTGGGCAGCCGCGTGCAGGCGCTCAGCACCGACGAGGGCACCTCCTTCCTGCCCGCAGAGCACGTGGCCACCCTGCCTGAGACCGCCTGGGGCTGCCAGGGCAGCATCGTGGGCTTCCTAGCCCCCACCCCCAGCAGGCCACAGGATGACGGATGGTCAGTGGGCCCCGGGAGCGCCCCCCACCCTCCACGCCTCCGTCCTGGAGTCCGTGAACCCCCTGAAGAGGCTGCTGGAGACCCCCGTGGAGGCCAGGTGCCTGGAGGGCTCTTCAGCCATCCGCAGCCTCAGGGTGACGGCCCCAGGCCTGGGGTCATTGGAGATGTGGGGTCCTGGACCCTGGTGCCCCCACTGCCCTCCGCCACCGCGCCCCAGAACACCACGTGGCTGCTGTACTCCCACCCCGTGGGCCGCAGGGCTCGGCTGCACATGGGCATCCGCCTGAGCCGGTCCCCACTGGACCCGAAGAGCTGGACGGGGCCCTGGGTGGTCTATGAGGGCCCCAGCGGCTACTCCGACCTGGCGTCCATCGGGCCGGCTCCTGGCGGGGACCTGGTCTTTGCCTGCTTGTTTGAGAGCGGGACCAGGACCTCCTATGAGGAGATTTCCTTCTGCACATTCTCCCTACATGATGTCCTAGAGAACGTGCCTGCTGGCCCCCAGCCGCCCACCCTTGGGGACAAGCCTCGGGGGCGCTGCTGGCCCTCCTGACAGGCCTCCTGGCTGTGCCCATGCCCCTTGGGTGCCTGGGGAGGAGGGGTGGAATATGCTGGGGTGCCCCAGGATGGATGTGGGGGGTCCCGGGGAGAAAGGGTGGAATACTGGGAGGAGGGGTGGAATATTCGGGGGTGCCCCAGAATGGTTGTTGGGGGTCTTAGTGGAGGACCCTGTGGATGAGGAACAAGTTGTTCCTTAGAGCTCTCAGGCAGGGGCTGCTCTTTAGGAAGGGGAACAGGGGCTGGGGGTGAGCAGGGCAGGGTGGGGGCAGGAGCTGGGCCCTGGGCGACACCCACAGCTCCCTTCAAGGCTGCCAGGGCTGGGGTGTAAGCTCAGGTGTCCCAGGGTGTGGCTGTTGGTCCAAAGCACTTGCTTTCTGGTTGCCTTCTGGCCAGAAATAAACAGATCGTGCTTGTGTCTGGGTAGACGTTTCTTTCCATTCCTTGTCAAGTTCAAGCCCTGGGGAGGGTAGCTCTGCTCTAGCCCACCTCTCTAACCCCCACTACAAAATCTCGCTGCCTTAGCAAAATTCTGCTCCTAACTGTCCCGGAGCCGGCAGAGGGAGGGCAAGGGGGGGAAGCGGCGTCCACCGTCAGCCTCCTGTGTCTGTGATTTGTCTGTGGTCTGCCGGGCTCTCTGAACTTCCTGCTGGAGGAGCAGGAGGCAGGGCCTCTCCCAGCAGAGCTGGACACCAGGAGGGGTCATCTTCCAGGGTCAGCCTAGTGTCCCGCTCCCTTGAACCCACCCTGGAGGGGCTTGGGTTCCACTGGGGCTGTTTCCCCAGGGAAGTTCCTTTTCATTCTTCTCCTTTTAAACTCTTCATTTCTGGTGATAAAAGCAACATATGTTCACTGTAGAAAATCTGGAAAATAATCCTGGCGCCATGGCTCATGCCTGTAATTTTAGCACTTTGGGAGGCCAAGGCTGGTGGATCACCTGAGGTTAGGAGTTCGAAACCAGCCTGGCCAACATGGTGGAACCTGGTCTCTACTAAAAATACAAAAATTAACTGGGCATGGTGGTGGGCACCTGTCATCCCAGCTACTTGGGAGGCTGATGCAGGAGAATCACTTGAACCTGGGAAGCGGAGGTTGCAGTGAGCCGAGGTCACATGCTGGGTGGATTCTGTCATGCATGTGTCCTGTGGGAATCTGCGGTGTGTGTGGATTACGTGCTGGGTGCATTCCGTCATGTGTGTGTCCTATGGGAGTATGGGGTGCATGTGGATCATGTGCTGGGTACATTCTGTCATGTGTGTGTTCTATGGGGGTCTGGGGTGCGTGTGGATCATGTGCTGGGTGCATTCTGTCATGTGTGTGTCCTATGGGAGTCTGGGGTGCGTGTGGATCACATGCTGGGTGCATTCTGTCATACGTGTGTCCTATGGGAGTCTAGGGTACGTGTGGATCATGTGCTGGGTGCATTCTGTCATGTGTGTGTCTTATGGGAGTATGGGGTGCATGTGGATCACGTGCTGGGTACATTCTCTCATGCGTATGTCCTATGGGAATGTGAGGTGTGTGTGTGGATCATGTGCTGGGTGCATTCTGTCATGTGTGTGTCCTATGGGAATCTGGGG